GTGTGTGTGTGTGTGTGTGTGTGTGTGTGTGTGTGTTTTTAATAGTGTAGCTTGAAATTAATCGGCTCTAAACGATTTCACTTACGAGTTCAGGAAACAACGTGATCTGGTATTTAATCGATAGTTCGACTCGGTCTTTCTTTGTCTTCCAATGATTTCTAGTTTCAAAAGTCGAGAATATCAATACTAATTCTACTCTTTTAATTTCACTGAATATTGAATTATTCTGGATATCCTTATTTTTCCCGATTTAAAGTCCCCAATCTCTCTTACGATACTCTTATCTTCCTAGTGTTAGCGTTCAATCTCTGGGCTGGTTCTTACCCTCAGCGTAGATAGGCTGCAAGAGCAGGGCCGTAGCGAGCACGGTCGCTGCTAGGGGGGCCCAGGTTTTCGCGGGCCTCATGATCCCCGACCCCGTAGTTTGTTGTACGTAGCTTCAAGGTACAGCCGAAGCCGATTCTCACATGCACGGAACTGTCCGTTCACCCCTCAGGGAGGGCTTCTCGATACGATTCACCGTAGCGTTAAACGCAGGAAATACGTAGGATGAAGAAATAATGAAACTGTGTGAGCTAGAGGCGCGGAGGCGACGTGGCCTGCTCGACGCATCCGTGAGATTTCGTCTAACGTGCTTCAAACATCGTCGATCTCGCTTATATAGTTAGCCTGTCTTTCGGAGAAAGTCCTCGCCAACGGTGCAAGAGGATGCTACCAGGCAGGCAAGACGTTCTTCGGTGAACGTGGGGGGCTGAATGACAGGAGGGGAAGCGACGAACAGGAGGGGATGAGAAGACCTCGGGTGGAGGATCTCGGGCGAAGAGACGCGTCGTCGTGTCGTCGTGGTTGACCCTGGTCAGGCTGTTACTTCGCCTTTTTTCTTTTCCCTCTTGAACCTGTTCGTCTTTGTTCCTCCCTTCTCTATTCCTCCTCGACGTCCTCTCCCCCCTCCCCCTCTACCCGGTGTGTTATTCGCGTTCGTTCCTTTTGTGTCGCGTCGCGCGAATTTAAAGCTCTCGTTATGATAAATTGCCGCGGCGGCGGCGGCGGCGGCGGCCTTGATGTCATAGCTGATGGAAGAAGCGATCGGGAGATGACGACGATGGTAACGACGATCACCCGAGGCACCGGCGTGCATACTCATCGCGTACCAGTTATTCGACGTTTCGTCACTTTATTAAATATTTATGTAGATTATTCTCTTTGGTTGCAGCGGCGCTCGTTGGACGTGAACTTTTCAAAGGGTGCCCTTTTGAAGCTTCTCATTCTCTTGCACATCCAACGACGAGAGAAGTCCCAGTATCTTTCTCCAGAGGGAAGAATAACTTTGCATAATGATTTTCGGGATCGCCGCCGCGATGTTTGAATTGCAAGTGAAAATGTATCGTCGGCGATTACTCAAATGAGCGTGTTCTCAAATTGGCCTTCGACGTTGTTGCATTCAGAGCGCGAATTTAATTTATTACCGTTACAGTTACAAATTTTGGACAGTTCGGTTTATCGTAGTCGTGAGGCGAATGTAACGACGCCGAAAGTTCCTCTACGTTGATCTATCGGGTAGGAAAGTGATTGCATTCTTAGCAGAACGCATTTTGAATACAGAGCAACGAGCTGTTGGCCACTACTCTGTCTATTAACAGGATTCTATTTTCACCAAAACTATCTGTTTTAATTCAACTGATACAAGTGCGTAGGAATTCCTTCCAGTGCATAGTAAAACTCGTACTACTCATTGAACATTCCAATTAATCACCTCATTAACAGGTAACCTATCGAGCATGAAAAAATTATAGTACTTGATTAATCGAATATTCAATTAAATCGAGCAATTTTCTCTGTCTCTCGAGAAACAATTGTTATCACTGCAGAATATAAATTTTCATCGGTTCAAAATGTACACATATGTAACGAGACACTGTAAAGTGTAATGAAATATAAGCATGTTCAAGTAAGGATTCTATTTTCACCAAAATTATCTATTTTAATTTAATTGATACAAGTGCGTAATAATTCCTTCGTACTACTCATTGGACATTCTAATTAATCATCTCATTAACAGGCAGTCTATTGAGCATGAAAAAATTATAGTACTTGACTAGCCAAATACTCAAAATTAGAGAAATTTTCTCTGTATCCTGAGAAACAATTGTTATCATTGCACAATATAAATTTTCATCGGTTCAAAATGTACACATATGTAACGAGACACTGTAAAGTGTAATGAAATATAAGCACGTTCAAGTAAGAATTCTATTTTCATCAAAACTATTTATTTTAATTTAATTGATACAAGTACGTAGTAATTCCTTCGTACTACTCATTGGACATTCTAATTAATCATCTCATTAACAG